TCTCTCTCTCTCTCTATGTTGTCATGTTCGCTATACACCACTCCACAAAAAAAAGCATGACTGTGCGAGACTGTTCCATCGGACTTTCATCAACTCATCACGGGGTTGAAACCCGGCAATCTACCCAGGATGCATTTGACTGATGAAGAAGGACTTACCACACCGCCCAGAATTAGTGTGTCCGTTTGAATGTCATGTGCCTTTGTCTTATCTTAGGGGCGTTGATCACTTCCCTAAAATTGCAGACTTAGCGCTTATTCATAGGTCCTGTCTATTCCTTGGGAGCAGCACGTGCCGGCAACCGGCATTTACCACACACTCACCTGATTGCCTGGCCTCTTTCCTTTGCTTGTCTTGTTCTCTGAAAAATGCAGTTGTTGGATGAAGTGATTGGGCCAGCTCCAGACTCAGAGACATTTCAGAAAGAGGCAGAGTGGATCTATGACCGCGCATTTGGCCACTTGGCGACCCCTCCTCGACTAGAATTTTCAAGGATCGCCAACTCCAGCAAAGCCGATGTCGTACAACAAATTGTTGAGGTTCTGACTCAGCTCCATGAGGAGAAATATGAGGTGAGCAGAATGACTCCAGGCTTTTTCCTTTTTCATTGTGGGAGAAGACAGGAGGGCCTTGTTGCTTCTGGCTCCGTTCTAATTCTGGGGAAACATCAGTATCATGACAGTATGGTAACTTTTCGACTGCGAAGTTCGGAAATTTATAACATTAGTTACATTACCCATATCATGATTCTCCTTGTTACAGCCACTAGAGATAACCTCCAACAGCATTAACTGCTCCGACCTCCAACAGCATTAACTGCTCCCTTAACGACGTTGTGGCCACGGAAATCTCCAACGAACAGAATGCCGGCTTTCTGTTTCTTTTTCTTTTTCTATTTCTTTTCAGAAGCGGAACAAGGCCTAACATTAGTGTATCCATCAGGATTTGAACTCACACACTCCATCAGCATTTTTCATGTTGTGTGCACAACGCAGCCACAGGACAGAGATGCCTAATGACTCCTTGCCATGGAAGCTCTTGTGAGCCTCTCGCCATTAGAGCCAAATTTATGTGCTTGACGCCGACTGAAACAGTTCTCACCTTTGGCAGTAGCCGATGCAGATCCCAGGGGTCGATCCCTTGACCTCAGCTTACCTGTGTACAGTATCTGCACAGTTCCC